AATTATTTGTTCATATCAAAGATATAAAGGATAAAGCGGAACAATCAGAAGAGGAAGTTAAAGAGATCACAAGAGATATTAAACAATTAGATTTTGCTAAAAGGAATCTTGTAACTTCTATAACAACATTAAATCATCTACATATGCTTGTCGAAGGAGTTGACACATTAAAGTATGTACTTTGTTAATATATATCTTATATTTTAAGATTTTAACCTAAAATATTATATTACATATATTAATGTATCCTTTTAGAACATTAATACAAAAGAAACAATATGGAGAAATCATTTTACCGTTACAAGCAGTGACAGAAGTCATGGAGCACTTTAATGGTTACATGGATATACCAGAAATTAAACAATTATCAGATGAGGTGAGAAATTTTACACGATGCTATAAACATTGTGTGTGTGTAAAATATATGAAAATAATTGTAATTTATTTCTGTAACACAGGTTCGGCAAATACATATTGAGTTAGCTCAACAAATTACAACAGATTTCAAAGAAGCATTTTCTGGACAAAACCCAAAGTATTTTAATCAACTGACAGATGGATGCGTAGTATTATCTTTATTGGATCCAAAAGTGAAGTAGGTATTATTGTTGCAATTCTTCTAACTAGAACAATTATAATGATGTATATGTAAAGGAATGTTCAAATACTACAACAAACTTTAATGCAAAAAAAAATTATGCTGTAAATATTACCTTTTTTTTAATAGGAAAGATTTGCTAATATGGTTTATAGATATTCAATTAAAAGAGTATGCACACATATTCGATGAAAATCAAGATTACGCATGGTTGGACAAAATAGATAAACGATATGCATGGCTCAAAAAACACTTGCTTGACTTTGAATCAAAGTTCGGTACTATCTTTCCATCTGATTGGGAAGTATCTGAGCGAATTGCCATTCAATTCTGTTATGTTACAAATGAGGCTTTGACCAAACTAATGCATAAAAGACGTTCGGAGATAGATGTTAAATTGTTACTGTATGCGATTCAGAGAACTGCAAATTTTGAATCATTATTAGCTAAACGTTTTACTGGTAACAAATTATCTATTGATAATCCTGCAATATCGGTTGAAAATAAAAATTCAACTGTAAATAATGCAGACGATAAAACGTCTAAAAATCCATTTGAGGAAAGTGAACAGGTAAAAATAGTTGTATTATTTTCAATGTACATTGCAGTGTTATGTTTAAAATTATATATATAAAAAATATATATATATATATATATATATATATATATATATATATATATATATATATATACATATATATATATGTATCATATATATATCATATATATTGTAGATAATACATACATAAATATAGATATTTTGACATGTATTTTAGGTGGAACATCAAAAATCAAAAGCATCCCCTTTCATAAATCTTATAGGAAGTTGTTTCGAGCCATACTTGTATATATATATCGATAGTTTAGACCGTAATTTAGCAGATTTAATGAATAAATTTGTATCTGATTATAAAGCTCAGCCCCCAGGAGCCAAAGATTTTGATGGCAATGAAGGCTCAAATAGTGTTCTGTCCTCTTGTGCTGATCTATTCGTCTTTTATAAGAAATGTATATTGCAATGTACACAACTTAGTACAGGGATAATAATGCTGAGCCTTGCTAAAACCTTTCAAAAATATTTACGAGAATACGCCGTGAAGATACTTCAAAATAATTTACCCAAGTTAGCGGCACAAACTATTTATAAATATGTTCATTTTTAAAAATTCATTGATTATCGAGTTGCCCGTAACAACGAACTTTTTTATAGGAGCGGAAGCAGCCTCGGAATTGGTACGAGTATGAGTAGTATAACACGAGATTTCCGTGACTTATCAACATCTGGATTTATACAAAATGTTCAAAATTTCTTAAAAGAAGGTGAAAATACTAAGTTTTGTAAAGAAGAACAAGCACGTATTTGTTGGTAAAGATTAAATAATTTCTTTTGATCTTTGAAAAATTTTTTAAAAAACAATTTAACGTGTACGCATCCTTTTTAGCATTTTGACAACGGCTGAATATTGTTTAGAAACAACACAGCAATTGGAAGAAAAATTACGTGAAAAAACGGATCAATGTTATGCGAAAAGGATTAATTTATCTCAAGAGCAAGATATTTTTCACGAGTACAGTATTATATCTTGTATACGTGTGTTTAGAGAAGTGTAAATTGAAGAATTTTGCAGAACCAAATGTAATTTCAACATTTGTTTTCAGTGTTATTTCTGACTGTATCTTGTTACTAGTTCAAGACTTAGAAGCGGCCTGTGATTCTGCCTTATCTGCAATGACTAAGGTAAATTAACAAAAAGCTTTTAACAAATAAATACAATATTTTTTAAGTTCATTAACTAAACGTTGAACAAGTGAAATATTTAATATTTAAACATTAGTTACAGCAGTAATCGTAAAATAATCAATTTTCTGTTTTCTGTCAGATGCAATGGAGCTCCATAGAGACGGTCGGAGACCAAAGTAATTATGTTAATACAATAGTAGTGCATTTACGGCAGATGATTCCCTCAATCAGAGATAGATTATCTTCCTGTAGAAAGTATTTCACACAACTATGTGTAAAGTTTGCAAAGTATAGTATTTTTCATTTTTCGTGTATTAACATTTATTTATAATATGTTAATTTTATTCATAAGTCCAATTTAAAATTTTACCTTTTTAGTTCTTTTATTCCCAAATTGGTGCAACAGTTGTATAAATGTAAACCGTTAAGTGCAGTAGGAGCAGAGCAATTATTGCTTGATGTTTACATGCTGAAAACAGCCCTTTTAGAATTACCTTGTACGGGTTATCAAGTTCAAAGGAAAGCACCTGCTTCTTACGCAAAGGTAATATTATTAACGCACTCGGGACCAGTAATATAGTCCTATGTCATTTTATTTATTTAAATGGTAGAATCTGCTTAATGTGGACAATTGAAAATTGTACGCGACTTTCAGAAAAAGCGGTCTCACCGCTGAAATTGCCATAATTGCTGTAAATGTGTTAATTTTAATGGCAAAATTAATTTTATAAAAAATAATCATCAAATTTTTTAAACAGATAGTAGATAAAGGTATGGCAAATGCTGAAATGATTCTTAAAATTGTAATGTCACCGGTAGATTCTCCTGCTGACTTTGTAAAAGGATGTAAGATGCATTTGCCAGATTTACAAGCACCAGAATTTCAAAAAATTTTAGATATGAAGGTAATGATCTCGCTCGTCTGTGTGTGTGTGTGTGTGTGTGTGTATATATAGTATATACATTTATCTGCGAATGATGTATGTACTATTAATCATTATATTTTCGTAGGGTTTGAAAAGAACGGAACAAGTTCTATTGACAGAACAATTCAAGCAACCAGAAGGTTCAGATGCATCATTAACTTCAAGAAATAATACCATTCAAGAGAGCCCTGAGCATGAGGCAGGTCGAATTAGAAAATTAGAAAAACTTATTAAAAAAAGAATCTAAATTACTTTTGCCATTTTTTCTTCTTCTTTTTCTCATAACGATACCTGTTTTTTTCCTTAAGTGAATTCTGAAACTTCTTTGCGGGAGATTAAAAATTCATTGCTTATTCTTAGAGTCATTCGTTTAATCGTTTATTATCATCAATACAGCATCTAAAAATATATATTTCAACGAAGCGAATGTGTGCATTAGAAAACTATGTTGCTATGATGAAAAAAATATATCGTTTTTTTTCTCTAAGAACAACAAATTATTAGCAAATCTTCCGACGAAGATTAACAACGACGTAGTTAAATACATAGCTCAGTTTTATATATATATATATACATATATATATATATATGTATGTATCAGCAATGGCTTGCTCGCCCTACAGCAGCAACACGGGGTTGCCATGATTTTTACGCGAAAGCTATTGACTGCATTGAGAAATTACTTGCTTTAGTTTTTTCCATCGATCGATGAATGTTTTTACTTCGAAAGATTAAGTTAGACATTTAAAATTCTTACGACAATTGATTTACGACCTAAGGAGATTCTTTTGTCTTTAATAAATTTTCTTGTCAATAGAAAAAGAAAGAAAAAAAAACATTGAAAAGAATATATACTTTTCCAATTATCCAAATGATCATAAGATAGCATAGAGGAAAGTAAAAGTATGATAAAGAAAATATAATCAAAGAAATTCATCGATGGATCGAACGCGGAGATTTTCATTTTTAGAGCGCATCGAATGACAATTATTGAGAAATCATGATCTCATAATCGGGGAAGCCGATCTCAGCACCCCCAAAAGGTATGTAACAAACGCCATGAGACGCTTGAACCTTGCCGATAGTTAGAGTGTCCTCATGATGTACACGACCAACGAATAAAGGTTCCCCATCTTCCGTTTCTCCAGCTGGAATTGCATTTGTCGGAATGTTTCCGCCACTTGTTGACACCCAAGATACATGGCAATCGCAAAGTACCTGTTATATTAATTGATATTAATTCTTGTCATTTCTAACGATTAAAATTTATTTTCCTAACATCCTCGATTTTTCAAATTGATTTACAATATTCTTTAACATTGAATATTTTATTATAATAGAAATAAGACTAAATCACCATTTTAGTTACTTGAAATACACTTTAGCTTGCTTTTAATACATCAAACTGGAAAATAATACATTTATTTGCCTTCGAAAGAGTAATAAATACCATTAACTTTTACGTTATAATCTAATAAATAAAAATACCTGATAATCTGTTTTTGCATGCTCGGCGCCACCCCAGGGAACGTAGCAAACGCTGTGACTAGGTTTCACCTTGCCAGGTAAGAGAGCACCTTCATGATGAGCTCTACCTACGAACAAAGGCTCATCGTCTCTTCCTCCTTCGACGCCACCTGGAGGGACTACCAGGGCACTTGTTGCATCGCACCAGCAATGACTTCCGGTATCAAGTCCACGGACTTCCAATGGGGCGGAAGGTGCAACATTTGGATCTGCAATCGATCCAATTGATCAACCAATTTATCCTAATTAATCGATTGAATCCTCAAGCAATGAAATTTCCATAACAAAATCCACTTTATACTTTCCGTACGAACAAAACGTCAAGATGAGTTTGTTAATGATGAATTCTTTGAAAATATTTTGCAATATAGCATTTGAAACAAATTCATTCTTCATAAATTCCGCTTAATCGTCGATGTTACCAATTTTCTGTCGTACAGTAAATTTAACAAGCGTGAAAAACTAAGAGCATCCATGCGATAGGATTAAGTATGAACATACGGGAACAAATAAATAGGCTCGCAAATAACAAAGAAGCAAATAACGAACGAAACAACAACAACGTGCAACGTGCAGAGCAGGGTAATAGACCAATGTGCATAGATGTGAAAAAAAAAATATGTGTGTGATATATAAGATGTTTTATTTCAGTTAGTACGGCGAATTTTACGATACATGTAATTACCAGCGAACCTTCGATGTAAAACAACGTAATATGACCATCGGAAATATATCCATGGCGTATTATGAAAGAAGAACGTAGAGGCATGCGCGTTTCTTATAGATACATTACGCTTCGCACCCAAGCGATAAGAGACGATTTCGTTGTTCAACGAACCCGAGATCCGTCAGCGCTCATTAGCCCTGATTAACTAGTGGAAAATAATAAGCACCGGAACACTTTTTTTTGCAGTCAAAGTGAACGATTAGATTCTTCTACATATGTAATTTGTTTCAATTTCCGTGAAATGCTTAGCTCTGACGATGATCTCGAGTAATGCAAAAGAAAATGAACAAAAAAGAGAGAAGAGAGAGAGAGAGAGAGAGAGAGAGAGAGAAAAAAAGAAAAGAAAAGATGAGTGTACAAGAGAGATTACTTTTCTGATTGTGAGAGGAGGAACCGAGGGGAGAAGGATACTCCAAGTTCTGTTCGAATCGAAGTTTCCAAACTCCTTTAGCACCCCAACCCGTGCGTACGCCAATGTGACTGACGCCAATCGGATTTGGATCTAACCAGTCCATGATTACGTGTCCGCGTTGATCGCCGGATCTGACCGTGATGCGCCCGTCGAGCCAAGAGATCGAAAATCTCTTGAACTCGTTCTGGTTGAGGAGGTTTGGAGTATCCACGCGTACCTATTACCGCAAAATGATCGCGTTATAACACGACACGCGAACGGAACCTAACGCGATTAATCATCGTTATGCAAAATAGAATGGTCAATTTTATAAATGAATCAAAACAACAAAATAATAGAAAAATAATTAAGAAGAGCTGATCACCATTCCGTAAAAGAAAAAAAGAAAATATCATCAATGATTTTCGAACCTTGTCCGGCTTTTTACGATCGTATCTGATGACGGACGCTGTATTTTCCCATCCCCCAAGCATGATCTCGTACATCGGATTAGTTTCCTTCTTTGCATCGGTCAAAGCAACGTGCGCATTGCTTTGGGCCTTGACTTCGATGAAAAGAGCGCCGGCTCGTATCGCGTGGTATTTGTAAACGAGCTCGTCTTTTGTTTTCAAAGGTATGAGACCTTGCATATCGAATAATATTAGATACGTGAGATCATTTTATACTAGAATACCTATATGCCTATGTATATCTATGTATATCTATACACATATATATATATATATATATATATATCCATCTATTTATCTATCTATCTGTCTATCTATCTTTATACATATTATTTTCAATAAAATCGTTTGCATTAAAAAAAAAAAGGTGACTTCCGTAGATACGTTTGCAAATGAAAAATAAGAAAGAATTTTTCTTTGTTGAAATAAAACAAATGAGAAATATATTACATACATATGTACCGAATCTTCTTGCATCGATATGGAAAAATAAGTTATCTGTAATGTCGACGACCCTTTTATAAATGTGCTTTGTTATAATAGCGTGCACTCGTCAATCGCAATGCATTCGTGGACGTTGCGAAGGTTTCGTGCTGGGAGATAAAATATACGTATGTATATGTATTGAAGGGAGCATTCTCAAAGCGATATCTACAAAAAAAAAGAAAAAAGAAAGAAAAAAAGAATAAGATACGTTCACAAGCTACGTGATCAAGAAGCCTTGCCCAATGGCTCTCCTTTATTATACATTACGTACAGCCACGGTTATCTCCGATACATCTGGCTGTGCAGATCGCGATGCGTTAGAAGAGTCCCATCCGAAATTGGAAAAAGTACCAAAAATAAAATACAAACGTTCTAAAATTCTTTCTTTACATTCTATTTTAAATATACAAGAGGATTTCTTTCCCGATCACTTTGAAAACATTATTTTCTGTAAATAGCAGCAACGCATTAAAGTAATAAAAGGGCAGCGTAAACTGTGCTACTTCCTATTCTATATTTTACCCTAAGAAGAAACTAAAATACAAAACTAAATACTATGAAATAATCGAGAAGAAAGATATAGATTATCGTTATAGTAAAGATGTAGCACATTCCTAATCCCAAGCAGCAATGCGGACTTGAAAGGCTTACCTTCGATCAACCATTCTCCTGAGGCTCCCCAGCCGGTGCAAGCACCAAAGTAACCTATACCGAATGGTTCAGGATCGGTATAGGATAAGAACGCATTCTGTTCACCTTCCTTACCAACTGTGATTTCGCCATCGCGCCACCTGAATATTATTCGTAAAGAAATATCTATGTAACTTACATTGATGTATAAATATTACGCAAGCTAAAAAAGGATCGGCAAAATTTTATTTCGAAGAGAAACAATTCATCATACCTTATCCAAAATCCACGAAAATTGTCAGCTGTCAAGATCCCTGGAGTTTCTTTTTCTGCAACTTCCGGTTTGGTTCTATTTTTACGAATGACGGATTTGGAGTTGGCCCATCCACCGATGATAACCTAATCAATGTTAAAGTACATATTTTATGAAAACAGAGAAGACATCTTTCGATCTAATTTGTAAAAAGGAGAAAAAAAAAAAAGAAAAAAGAAATTGTATTTGCTAACCTCATACATGGGTTCATCCTCACGGGGACCAGTGGTAAGGGCGATGTGAGCATCGTTGGGTGCTTTTACTCGAAATTGAACTTGTCCACTGGTCACCGGATAGAAGTTATACTCCAATTTGTCTTCCGTCGACAGTGCTGCGCGATTAATGACATTATTAGTCAGAAATTTAAGAAGAAATCAATAAATAATAGTATTTGACAATATCTATATATCATTTGTTATTTTATAGCTTAGATATAATTATTAAATCGATCGTATTTGGACCAATGTCATTCCGAGTTTAACAGGAAGAATATATTAATAGAACAACAAAACAACAAGTTCTTGTTACGATTTTCAAAAATATTCCCATCTGCCTTTTCTATAGGCAGCTGGTCGACTTTGGCCACTGGGCACACTGGACCTTGCGTGCGAGAGTAATAATCTGAGAGTATGCTCTCGAATGGAAACAAAGGAATGTTATTATCGGACAGCTCTTTCGTAAATGACTGTAATGAAAGAATGGTGGAAATGTGGGACCTTCGAATTAATAACAACATATATATATATATATATATAATCATATCTATCATATAAATTCAATATCGAATAGATTAATGTAGGCGTTTTTCACGTTCCAGTGAATACGGTTCTGAGAGTTCTGCAAGCTCTTGATTGTGGCATTCAAGTGGCTATTTTGGAGCATTATTATCACGAGAGTCTGTCACCTTGACGTGATGTTGATTGGCCTAGGTTAACCAAATAATCCAGGAACTTTCTTGGCGAAGGAACGTGTTCTGATAATCCGAGAAAGTCTTCCGGTGAAGGTACACTCACCAAAAGCAGACTAGTAGTTAATGTTCATAAGTGAGTAAATAAATTGAGATCTGGTTTAAAGGGATATTATTTAATATCGAGACTGTATAGCGACTGTCGCATCGCAAAAAAAAAATTTGGCGGGTTACTTTTTTTGGAGTAAATTTAAGAGTGCCGTGGACGAATGTAGAACTTTCTATCGTCGGCAGATCATAGCGTGAGGGTAAAGCTCGGCTCTTCTTTTAAGGAGTGACGATAGTTGTAACGGGATAACGATTTTGTTAAAGTAACACTGCGAAAGACAAAGCGTGGTTTGGTTCAAAAGAAACTTTGGATATTCGTGAAGATCCGAGGAAATCTATGTAATTCAGATAATTAAGGATCAAGTTCGATGGGAACTTAGAGGATGGAACCTATTAGAGGTTAATCTGAATGTATTGAACGCAATAAGGATCATCTGCGAGGATTAGTCTTAAAACTGATACTTACTCAAAGAATGGGCAAGGAATGATAGAGGATTCTAGGGCGTAATAACTTGGGTTCATTATGATGAGAGAGGACGGGTGCATTTTAATATTTATGAGGAAGGACGATAGAAAGTCGAAAATGTCGCGACGAAAGTCGAGACATCCTGACGCCAGTTAGTTCACTGCAGTCGGTAACGTGAACTAGGACACGTTGTAGTATTCATAGATCAATAACGTAGCAGACATGGATAATCACGAAATCTCAGATGAACGTAAGAAACGAGCATGACTTTTCACCGATGCACAAACGAAAAAGTTCGCCGATTAAGAATCTCGATTTCTTATGGATCGCCTTTCTAGATACGATCATTAAAATTTTCTTGTACTTCCGATATAATACACAAATATAATGAATATTTTAGATAATTTTTTGTATACGGAACAAGTGTCGTTTATAATTTTAAATAAGTTGTTTAGAATAGACAGAAAGTTTCTCTACTTTGGAAGTTGAAAAGGTTAGAAATTTCTGGAATGTTGTCTTTTACAATGAGCTGTAACCTTTGAAAAATGAACGAAAAATATTTTTGCTTTGTAACTTAACGATTGGATTTTTTTCCTCTTTTGTTTTTTCTTTTTTCAAGTAAATTATCACAAAATTCGTTGAACGTATAAGGAAAGAAGACAATAAAAAGACATTTTATCTTGGTCGTAAACTTATCGGTTAGTCGTAAACGTATTAACAAATTCGTTGGAGTTTAACGCAATTGACAACTACGATGGACATTCCTTCGGCTCGCGCGAGTTAGTTCATGGAGATCTATCATACTCGTAAATGTAATTTACGCGATGACGTGTCGTTACGTTGCTTGAAACGCAGTTAAGAACAAAACTGATGACTATTTTCATTCGGATATATCTTCTTCATGTACGATGGCTAAAAGTCATTGTCTAAAATTCAAGCGACGATATATCATCAATCAGGATATTAGAAATCGTTTCTAAGAACAATAGGAATAGTAAAAGTGACGCTCTAGTGAAAATAACATTGACAGTTAAGTAAATGATAATTCATTGCCTTTTACATCTAAACGCATTTCTAATAATTAAGCAAGATTAGAAACCTCTCTCTTTTAATAAACATTGTTTCCAGAATCATTCCTAAACGTATCAAAGATGTAATATTCGCATTGAGTAGACAACGGCACGAGAAGGCAATGCTTATAAATAGTGAAGTTATGCCACGAAGGTAACTTTTAACGGTGACATCATCAGCAACGTCGTAGAGGAAGAACAAATTGTTTTAACCATTTCTCTCTCTCTCTCTCTCTCTCTCTTATATTTGCGCAATTTCTTATCCATTCAACCGGCAACCCTCGTACTATATTATTATGAAAGTAAAATTAATCAATAGGTAAATCGAGGTCATCGCCGAGTCAGCCGATGCTAGTTGTGAATAAACGTCATTGAGATGATGTCATTCATATTTAGAAGTGTATTATTTCATTTAAGGGGAAGTCGATCTAAATTCTATAAACATCAATTCATCGTGTTTTTTTCGGAGAGACACGAAGCAGCTATCAAACTATGATAAAATATGCGCGTATGATGATAATTATCATTGACTTTTGACTCGAAGAAGAGGATTAAGGTTTGCCGATCTCTAACCGTGATTGTAAACTTTTGAAAGTCAAGCACTCTTAGCTCCTGGCTTCTACGACGATTTTTCGATGATTATTATTAATTAACTATCGAATAAAATTTAAGAAATGCCAAAGAGTTTGTGCTCGTTGCTCTTAAAAAAAGTTTTTATACGATAGCGACGAGTTCTCTTCTCGGTCGTTTTGCAGATGCAGAGCAGCTGCGAAACTTAATTAATCGCATTTAATAAGGCGAAAAATTTGATAAACAACGAAACGAATGTCGATACTGTCGCCTTGAGAATTAACATACTGCTAATAAAATATTCTTCGAAAGTGATGCAAGAGAACTCGAGAGAATATTAAAGTTTCCAAATTGGCTTTGTCTAATAATGTAGGGTATACTGTATTAGTAATTAACATAATAGCGAGAAGATTAGTGTCATTGAGTGAGAATTAGTCATTGCGCAACGATGAATCTCGTTATTTCGGTCATCGCGATTACGCGACTGCTCGTTTTGATGAAGCGAAGAAAAGATTTCGTGAAAAATACAGTCATCTCAATCGGTTTTTTTTTTATCAAAGAAAGTAATTGATCTCTTCGAAGAGCACGTTGAGCGCATGCACTGTTAGATGTTCTAAAATAATTCCATTAAAGAGAACCACTTAATTTTTGTACGCATAACATTTCTCATTAACGAAATTTGATTGCTTTATAATTGTGATTTATTTTGATCATATATATATATATATATATATATAAAATTGTGTTGTCTTTAGAAAAGAAGAAAAAAGTAATAATAAATAAAGAGAAAGGTAAATAGATCCTTCTCTTCCTGGCAGTAAGACGTTAATACATGGAAGAGAAGCAAGTCAAAACGATGTAACTGTTTCCTGATGCCATTGACCTCCCATGGCAGCAACTGTCTCTCGTGTACCATCCACAACACATTTCTTTTAATATACTTTACTTCCTAGTAAATAAAGACTACACTGAAACGCGAGACGCCGCGCGTCGTAACGCCAAGTTTATCTTATTGTTCTTAAGCATGGAGTTCGTGAACTTTTCGAAAATAGTCAAGAAAATTCAAATTAGGAACGTATAACGAAGATAAATATAATGTTTTTGCTTACGAATCACCTATGGACTTACAATATAGAAAATTGAGAGAGAGAGAGAGAGAGAGAGAGAGAGAGAGAGATGGAATAAAAGTTTGGAATGTTGAAACAAATATTGAGACATTCGATTCTGTCGGAGAATTCCAGAGGAAGGCACGCTTCTAAAATAGAAACCTTCTGATAGCGTATAGGGCACGTATAACGCGAATATCCTTTCGTTGCTGCTGCGTCATCTAAAATACTACCAATCCTACTTTCTTTCTCTGCGATATTAAAAAATAACTTTGTCCTTTGGAGTTTATAACGCAAAAACCAGAACGACAACACTTGATTTTATCCTTGAAAGAGAAGAAATAACTCTACGAGTAAATAATCGCTTTATTTTGAACAGTTGTAAACCGATCGAAGTGAACGTTCAGTTTAGAAATGTATTTTTACGTATCAATCGCTTATAATGGGAAAAATATTATAGTTTTTATGTGGTGTTGCTTCATCGATCGATTTTATTTAATCCATGCATTGAAAAACGAAACGATATAACAATCAAACAACAAGGAAACGGAAGAATAACATAAAAGTTGGAAAGAATGCAAACACCGGCCGGTTTACCGACCGACGATCGGCTTGTCAAACCGGCACAGCCGCGCCCTTGACTATATTTAGAAGCATCTATACGACGTGCTTCTTTCAGGGAACATTCTACTTCTCTTTTTTTTCGCATCACTGGACAACAGCCATTTTCAAATCGACCAAACGCGGATCGTCATTATAATCGTCATATACACCTGCCTAATTGTGTCGGCAAACGAATAGATAAATAATAACGTTTTTTTTTTGTTTTTTTTTTTTTTCGAATAAAGCCTCTTTCAATGAAGTCTCAAATATGTATAACCATAAGTATATTATTTAATCAATTGTTTGTGCGATTTAGTAATCCCCATTGAAGGCAAATTGTGAATTAAATAGGAATAGAGAGACATGTTTTGTTATTTTCAGGTATGATTCAGACTTAAATATATGAATTCTATTAGTAAGAGAGAGACGCTCATTGTGTCCAACTCACAGATCGGTACGGTAGGTTTATTGCGCAATATGAACGTTTCTATCTGTTTTTTCATATGAATCTGTTTGACGATCAATTTTTCCTTATACCAAGCGATTTCGAGCTCGATGATGAACATGTTAAAAGGCCTGATCTATTAGATCGAGACATAAAAATTCTCTTTGGAAAATAAAATTTGTATAATAGTAATTAGAAATGAAATTTAAAGATTAATAAAATAATTAATATATACGATATGGTAACTTACAAATAGCCATGTTGAAAATCGAAGTAGTAATTAGAGATTCCTCGATACGAGCGTGCCGGTATACACCTTAGACAGAATTCGAACTGGTACTGCGTTAAGCTGGCATTTTCCATTCCTTTTACTTACGGTTGTCGGCATGGGAGGAGATTTCGCACATGCGCAGACGCGGCACACCTAACGTTGCATCTACAAACAGCGTTATTGCGGATAAATCGCAAACTAGTGTATCCCTATATATAATATCCCCGTTTATATATTTTTGACGATTAAACGATTAATAAAGGTCCAACTTTATAAGCATTTCATGTTATGTTGATAAACGAAAAAAAAATTAATAGGTTTTTCAATTAATCAATCACCAACCAATCAATATTCATTACTTGCTGATGATGACGAACTTAAATACGAACTTATTATTCGAGGGATAATTAAATAGAACATGTATTAACATAAATATTAATATTAACAAGGATAACATTGGTTAATTCTAAAAATGAACCTAGAATTTGGCTTTGACGATTCGTTCTGAGTTTTCTTAGAAACGAATAAATTTTCAAATATGTATGTATTACATTTATTTTTACCGTGCGAAATAGATCGCGCGTAATAAATTATTATAAACTGTTACCATCTCAAGTTCGTCGAAATATATCGTAGGCACATACGATATGCGTCAGCAACCTTTGACATCGATGATCTAATACCAATTATATATACTTACCAATTAACAATAGTATCCATATACCGATTATTTAATTTTCAACGATAACATGTTTTTAGAATATTAATGACAAATTGTTATGATAACGGATAAAACTTTTCTATATTTTCATGGCACACACATTGGCGCTTGTTTTTGTTTGCAACCTCTTTTATTATATGCTCTGCTTTTTCTGAATGATATCATTTATGCGAAATTCTTTTACCAAGGAACTTGCAACTCTTGTCGTAGAGTGCGCTACGTTACATTTCAACTTGTTTATCTCCGTCGGTAAAATTCGAGTTTTACTTTCGTCCTTTTAATTTGTCATAAAAGTTTGACAATGTAATATTTCGCTCGATCGGTATATCGTTTTCTTTTCCAACGAAAACTCATGGAAGTTGAGATTGTAAACGAGCTTAATAAACTTTTGAATATAATAAATAGAGGGACATTGAATCTCACAAAGGTTGTTCTCACAGAATAATTTCATACATAGAAGGCTTAACGATAGGGTCGAAGTTTTTTGCAGAAGAACGCATATATAATATAGAACGTCATGATGTAGACCTATTTTGGAAATTATTGCAACAAACAAAGCACGGACTAAAAGCATAAGAATACGAATAAAAAGAACCCATTCGCGTTTCAAATTTTCTTCTTTGTGAAAAGTTGAAACACAAATTTGTAGGATGCATTATTATGTTGCCGCTCGAATCTTGCGTACTTGTAAATATATCATGTATACATGACACACACACACACGATATATATATATATATATATATATATATATATATACATATATATATTTTGCACTCCCATTAATAATCCTCAAAGAAAATTGCTTTTTCCTGGTTTTGCCGAAGAAAGCAATATTTAAACTCTACAAGGAGAATTCATATCGATTGATATCGTTAAACAGATTAAAATGAAATATATGGGAAAATAAAATTTTAACAGATTATTAATATCAACATGTGAAGTGGGTCGCAAGACCGTGTGTGTAGTTAGCAATAAAAGATGGCACATTTTATATACGCTCAACATTATTTGCTGTCGAGGCTAGAAAATAAAGGTTCTTTTTTCTTTTTCATTTCTTTCTTTCCAACATTAAGTTTTCCTTCGTTTTCTCATAGGAAACTATCTCCCGATTTTCACAAACATCGACACAGTTATGTTGGTACATTTGCTTTATAAATATACTATAACTATTTTTCTATCAAATATCGCTATTCATTCACATTTAACAACGATGAATAACATTTTATGTAAACATTATGAATTTGATTATCTTTCTGTATATTCATTTCACTTCTTTTTCTTTTTTTTTGTTTTTTGTTTCTTTTTAACAAGGAGGATCGAACCAATGTGATTTCTTTCGATGTCTATTCTCGCGTTGATATTTTTCATACTATATATGACATTTTATAAAAATAGAATAAAACTAGTTATAAAATGAACGGTAAGCATTGACAATAGTATGATGAAAAAGTACGGAATGAATTCGGTTAAATTTAAGACAATACGTTTTTACGTTTTACCGTAACGAGTTTAAATCGTCATAAAAATTATTAGTAACAGAAAGAAAAATAGAACAAGATCGATCCTACACAGAGTTTACACAGTGTCATACAAACATATAACTATATATTTATATCTCACAAACACAAATATTATCAAATATGCAACAATGACCGTCCATACGCAATCATTTTAATTAATTGCACTTGGAACAGAGTAGTTTACCACGATTATTCTCAATGACTAACAATAAGTATTACTTCTTCAGAGCTTATTATAAAGAAGCACCGTGCTATCGACATATATTCTCAAAAGTGCAACTAAAGCATTTTCGAGTTTTTTTTACCTATGTATTTCGTTATATCTAAAAATGTCTCACGATATTAATATTTAACAGTTGTAAAGAATCCATTTAAAATAGACCTATTTTACTAAATAGACCGTCGATAAGTCACTCGTATGTAATATTTTTTGTTTGTCATTTTTCTTATTTCCGCAGTTTTTGATTTTTAACGACACACTTTTGCCTCGTGCAGAAATCAAAGAAAACCGTGGATTTCGAGGAGCACAAGGCACGTAGTTGTTACGCAGATAGATTACGAAGGAAAGCTCCACGATTTGAAGACCCATTACGAACGTTACTAATTCGGCTACTGAACTTGACGAATCTTCTATCTTCTTGCAACAGAGGACAGAGAGAGAGAGAGAGAGAGAGAGAGAGAGAGAGAGAGAGAGAGAGAGAGAGGGGGGGGGGGGAGGAAGAAGGAAAGAGAAAAGTTTAAAAGCTGCCACATTCCCTTAGCACACGATTTCCTAGCGGCAGCGGTGGACGGAAATTGTTGATCACCTGTAAGGAGAAAGATAAAAGGATTAATTGAAAATGATAGATAGACGAAACTTTGACCGTACGAGCGGAAATGCAATATAAATTTTTTTACTCGCTAATAAGAAAAAAAAAAAGAAAAGGTCTTACAGCCCCGTGATTCTCGTGACAAGGACATTCCTCTCCGCGTGGGAATTTACGCAGATTACGAAAGATGTTGAGCTGGTGATGAGACACCTCGATGTATTTCTTGAAGAGAATCCATGTGACGCTCTCGTTAAACGGTGGAGTTGTCAGGGATCCCAAATATGTCCAATAACCGTTATCGTCTGAAGGTAAACAAGGAAAAACGTGTTGAAAAATCGCAACGTTAGAGATAAAATACAACCATCTTAAGAAAAAACGGTGCAACATGCAACGACTGCCATAGTGATTATACGGAGTTACGATTATTAACTTGATAAACATAGAAGCATCTAGTTCACCCTGTGGATATAAGAAAAGAGTGATAATAATTATTCTATATGTAAAATTCGATTATTTATATAATATTGCCAATTATGACAGCGAGACAACATTATTGTTCTTCGTTGAAACGTTCTTCCAATTACGTACTACCTTCTCCCAATTAAACAATTTCGAGAAGAAATCGATTAGTGATAAGATAATAGAGACGAGGGTGAACCCGTCATTCAGCTAATGTTTCCCTCGTACGTGTCGTAAGACATATGTTCTCGCTTTGGATGGAAGGTCAAAATGTGATTTTATTTTTAGTACCGTTCACTTAATTCCATTTATTAATCGGAAAAGCGATGAGACGATGCCGTTGATAAAATGAACGAAGCAATCCAATATAAGGTGGCGACAAATAGGACAAAATGACGATTAAATGCGATAGTATCGACGAATAAAATTCATTACCGTATGCATTCAAGTCATTTGGACAATAAGACAGAACGTTAGGACGATGACAAATGAAACTGCACAATTTAGTTAATGTATCTTGAAATAATATTATCCTCATGGGTACATGGAAATTAGAAACTTAGGGTGACGTCGAGATCCATTCGTTTCTCGCGCACAAGGATTCTATTAAATTTACTTCACGATGTATACGGATGATAACGTTACGGAGAGAATATTATAAATTAGACGTCAAGGGTATATGGGCAAAGAAACAAAGAAACAAAGAAACAAAGAAACAAAGAAAAAAACGAAGAAAGAAAGGAAAGGCAATTGATGGACTGTCAATGATAAGTCGTCAAGCGTATGTCGCGAGGAAAAATATTTTAAGGTGACAAGCGAAATAGTGACAGTACACAGGTACACTTGTTAAGACGAGTGCAACGAATCTAAATGAAGAAAAATGCAAAATCGAGGAACTACTTTTAGTTCGGCACGGACGAGTTATAAAAAGTAAAAGAAAGAAAGAAGGAAAAAAAAAAAGCAGGAAAGATGAAAATAAGTTGAAAAAATTCCAGCTTCGAGGTTGAGGTTTCACAACAATCGATCGTGATACGCTTCGAACGTTCTCCTTGATTTTTTCCTTTTTCTCTCTCGCTCGCTCGCTCGCTCGCTCGCTCGCTCGCTCTCTTTCTCACTTTTTGAGCGATCAAAAATGAAAAGGAAAAGATGACGACGGAGACACGCTCGAGCGCGGAACTCACGATACGTAGCGACGTACATATGTAGTTCAAGGCATTATACGAACCTTGAAAATCCAATTTGTTCTCATGACGTATGATTCGGTCGGCCCAACGCATGCACGGATTAGCGCATCTCTGCGTGCTGACTCGTCCACCGCGCACTGCATGCGCGTTTACGGTGCATTAGTGCATTTTGTTAGTTGATAGTAGCTTGTTATTGCATTTCAGAGTGAGACTCGATTGGTACGTCTTTTCCGTTCGAAGAGACCGCGACCGTCAGCTACACTAAACTTTGTCCAACTACAAAACTAATTCTACGACTATAGCCGGTCATCTAATCGTTTGTAAATTCATATATCTACTTTTAATTTGCTAAACCAAAACGATAATGATTAGAGCGATACTATAGTATATCCAACTAATAATTTTAAGCCGATATTATTTTAAACAACATGAATAGTTTATTACGATCTAAACGTTAAGCTTGGATGTATTTTCGAATAAACTCACCGGGAAGCAACTTGCTGGGGTCAATGAGATCCGCTATTTCTACAACTTCGTCCTTGTGCGACACGTATGGCAATAAACGTGCGATCTTATCCATCTCCTCGTGGGTCTTACCAACCTATGAAAAAGAGAGAGAAAAAAAGAAAAAGAAGAAAGAAAGGAAAAAAAGAAAAGAAGAAAATTAAAAGTCCCCTTGAGAAAACTTCCTTTCACGTGACATATAATAATTAGATGATCGATAATATCAATTAACTAAGCGTACACGTTTCCTCGATCGAACTCGAACGTATCAATCCAATTGATTTTAAAGACGAACTCTTGTTTGTTAAGGCAATGATTTAAATTGCCGACTATACGATTCGCTTTGATCTATAAGTTATAAGAAAGTTCTCGTCGAACAAGCAAATCTCCCGTTCGTTAGCTCATAAACATAAGGGACGCTCATAAAATATTTCTACGCTTTTGGACGATTGGAAATCGATTTGTCGTGTACCGATGATCTTTCTATCCTACGAATATACGATTTTCTTATGTAAAAATGATTCGATCGAAATGTTCCATAGATTTGCTGCTGCCCTTTTCCTACTTCATAGGAAAAGATTATATTCCTATAAAATTATATTTCCATCGATCGAAGATCAAACGTGTGAATAACGTCCACACAGTTACAATATAAATATTGTAACTGACGTTCGATTCGATTCTGTTCTTTATCTTAATTTATTTATTCATTAGATGGCGATCGTATTGCGATTGCATTCGGATCTAATTATGCGACTTGCATGTGCATTCAAAATCGAACGACGTCGATTCGCTCTTCTATACGGACCATATGTCACATTAATTGGCGATTATCTAACGATCACGTACTTGGAATGGTACCGTTAGAAATGTCTTTAATTGCATACTTAATAAATGTTAGAAAGAACGTTAACATAAGATATTCGCGACATGTAAAACATTCCTAAAGGAGGGAAGATATGTTCTATTGTCAAAATTAGATAAAAAAAGGCGTCGTTGAAAGCTTCGCATATAGTCGATAATAATTTTCGCGTGAAACTTTGTCTTCGCGATTGTGCAACGGCACTTTTCAAATTGCACCGCTTTATAATAATAGATATAAAGCGTGTTAACACGCGCACACGTAAAAATTCCATATACATGATAGCTCGGAATGCGTTTATGTATTTGCGATTCGATAAATCTAAGACTTTGCTTCGAAATATTATGCAACGAACGTAGAAACGACGTGGACGCTGACTTTCAATACGCGATTGATAATAAACGAACGAGGTACGTTTTTATCATGACATAACCTCTTAAGCACTTTATGAATCATCCTTTTCTCTCTGTCACATATGAAATCGAAATTATGCGATGTAATCGTGCGAATTTGATACAATCGTACGGAGAAAACTTTCTTAAAAATGATTATCCGCAAAGAGTCTATCCACTAGAAGAAATTACTTTTCAAAAACGATTGCACATTGATTTTGAAACGAATTATATCGTATATCTTTCGTATCTTTGATCTCTCGTTCTTTCTCTTTTATCCATCGACGAGCTTTCGTGACCGAAGGAAAAGAAAAGAAAAAAAGAAGAGAAAAAGAAAAAAAAATACAAAGGAAGTTCCTTCTTCTTGACAGTATAGCAATGGCCATCATAAAAATCGATCTTCCCGGTAAGCGAGAGTGAGCGTCGGACGAAGGAAATGATCGATTTAAATTCCATCCGGTGGTCGCGCTATCAAGTTAACGATATCCGTGCTCGTGTGGAAAAACGAATTTCGCTGCAGTTTGGAAGAATGAAATAATGGTTCATGTCCTTCGCCGTAGAAACGTTTACGTAATCGTCTATCAACCAATGCTGTTAACGTCGCCACTGTTACGGATTCTGCTTCTAGAGCTTGCAGCTTATATAAAAAAGCTTTGACATAAGCGCGGGTTTAACAGCCGCATAAGAGTGCATCCATAGAAAAAGAGAGTGTTTCGATAAGGAGGATAAATAATCGCTAATAATAATAAAAGGGGCTTCGAGAGGTATGCATCGACCTCTAAGGAATATCGTACGAAGTAAGTGAGAGAGAGAGAGAGAGAGAGAAGTAACTGACCTTGAGGAAGACACCCAACACCGCGAGACCATCCGACGCTTTCGCAGCTTCCGCGAATGTCTTGTACTTGCTTGTGTTCCAATGAACCAAGTGGAGCTGAAAGAATAAAGTAGGAAAACTGAGTGCATCAACTTGTCCATCTCTGTATTTATTCTCGTTGCGTAACTCATGATTCAAGAAAACTATCGAACATGTTAATTGGTTGGCGTGTAAACGAATGCTCGTCGATTATAAGAACAAGCTTTTCATCTGTCTTCTGCCAATGAGAAGTCAATCTTTTTTTTTTGTCCGTGGCGTAAACGATTAACGACCGCCTGAAAATTATGTTTCCTTTTGACCATCGGATTTTTTACGTTTAGCAACACGTACATATGTCTATAGATATAATTACGTTTAAACGAAAGATGGAATATTTGTTCGCGGTTGATAATCGATTCTCGTACCGGACTGCTGATGTAATTATACCCTCGAGAAGCAACAAATAATGAGAGTAAACAATCTAGATATTATATATCTCGTCAGTTCTAAAGTAAACGAACTTTCGTTAATCGTCTCGTAAATTGACTCCTCGATAAGTTAATCTCCTAAGTTATCTTAAATTAATCACGATAAATAGACAATGTGTCATCCTAAAATTTCATCACATACATTTTACATGTTAGTAAAAAAGAAAGGACGAATGAAAGATCTTACTACATAAGTAAATAGAATCGACAGGTCATAACGGTATTCTCGTAAATAGGAAAACGTATAATAGCAATACTCGTATGCAGAATAAACCGATGTTCTTTTCAACGGTTTACTCTCATCGCTAACAATGCGCAGGTGTACGATCGGATCGTTGCACAATTCAGATGCGATTTGCGTGCAGTCGAGCGATTGCGTCTCGCGTTTTGTGTTCCGGACGATGACGATAAACGTGAAACGATTCAACTCTAGCCGTTTCTATCTATAGACCACGACCGCGCCGTTACGATCGCCTAGGATAATATGTACCTAAAGCATCGATGGATCAATCGTTATAATGATATAACGGCACTAATGATAAATTGCTTAAAAAATACGCAAACGTAGAGACGCTCGCGATAGACGAATCAAAATAGAGAGAGAGAGAGAGAGAGAGAGAGAGAGAGAAAAGAAAAAGTTATTTGACCGATTCCATTAACGTTCTCGTTCTCGACCATCACAAATTTCTTATTTCCATAGATTACGTCCAAAACTATTTACAGATAGATATAATATAAGCGGAGTTTCTCGGTACGTCGGTCGACTCGCGTCGAAAGAAAAAGCCTACGCCTGGAGGTAACTCGTGAGTTCGAACGAACGACCGCGACGTGATTCACGTTCCACGTGAAATGAATTAACAACGCGATAGACGAGAGACTCAAAGTCGATCGGCAGATCGGGACAACAATGACGACGCGCAATACAACTTGCTCGAGTAAAACTTTCATTTCACGATCTCGATTATATTTATATATTTATCTTTTACTCGTAGAGAGTATTTCGTCGTAAGAGAATATCGTAACGATTATTTTCAAAGAATTCTCAACGTTAGCTTAACGTGTAGCATAAGGCTACCTTCAATATTATTAATTTATAGATAAACGACGATATTTTCGTAGATCGGTGTAAATTCTATTACATTCGTGTTATACTCGATACAAATCAATATAGGATAAACTCCTTTTATGTCGAACACTTGAGAATTCTCCGAGATTAAGAAAGAATGGATAAAAAGATACCTCGCCAGCGAAAGCTTGACCGTCAACGGTATGCTCGGAACCTCTCGAGTCGCTACATCCCCAATGGCAATGATACTGTTCGAGCTTATAAATATCATCCATGAGAGGTCCACCGCTCAAAACTGCAATTAAAATTGGATCTTTATGACAACAACCTTTCTAGATGAAAGAAGAGGAAGAAAAAAGGACAATTGATTCGCTCGGTCTAACTAGAATATTCGTGAGACACTTTGATCGTTCCTGTTACGTTTCTATTACAGGATGCGCCTGATTAGACCAAACGCATTTGCGCTGGTCCCTGTATGTCGGGGGACAGCGATAAAAGGGCTGAGCTTATTTATATCGACTGAAGCTTCTTGAGAGCTTCAGTGACATATTTGAAAGAGTCCTATGGGAAATGTTTCTTTGCCTTAAGTTAGTCGTTCCTTCTTTTTCTTAATTAGACAGAGAATTAATATTATTTACAATTACAAAAGTATCTACAAAGCGTAGCAGCGTAATTAGGCTGATTTTTGAAGCTTGAAAATTTGACGTTAAATACCTAAGGTAAATTCCTAAATTATGAATCATTCAAAAAGTTTAGAAATTATTTTACGCGCGCGGTTACAACTCTACCGTAAAGTAAACAGTAGGTATGTAAGTAGGTATATCGACGAAGAAAGTCGTTCAAGAATTAATCGCTACGCAGCCGTATCTTTGTCCTCGTTTCGAACACGCTCGAGGGCAAATTTTCGAAGGTAAGAGCCTCCTTAAACCGATTGCCCGTTCGCCACGAAGCTATTTAGGTATCAACGGCGTCTTCAAAATCGATATTTTTTTCTTTTTTTTCTCTTCTTCGAAAAAGCACCAGCGACGAATGCTTATTTCGTTCTACGATAATGCTAAAATAAACTCGCTTCTGACGCGCGAGATTTCACGAATACCGACAGGCGGATACTGGCTTACGGCGAACGGAGCGTCGCGTGAAGAGATGAAAACCATACGTGACGACAGTTAATCAAAGAAGAAGAAGAAGAAGAAGAAGAAGAAGAAGAAGAAGAAGATGCAAAGAACATAAAGAAGAGTTAAAAGAAGAAAGAAGAAGCAAAGAGAGCAAAGTTTTGTTTCTATAGCTCGGAAAACTGTGAAATGGGGCGATATCGCGGACGTGCTTAATTAGTCATACGGAGTGGAAATTAAAGTGAAAAAGATGAAAAAGAAAGAAAAGGAAAGGAAAGGAAAGAAAAAAGTAGCATGGTTGCGATCTTGGCGTGAAAAATATTAACATATCCTAGAGCGATTGGTCACGAGGTTAGGGAACTCCGTGTAGAGAGGAGGACTTGGTTGCATCCAAGTAAGTACTATGTGTACCAACACTTTGATATCGGCCGCTCCAAGTGACCACAAAGTGTTACAACGAGACACCCTACTTGGCGTTTCCTCCTCCCTTTCCATTCTCCTCTTTTTCTTTTTAGGTCTCGCGATGCAAACGCCAGAAGGCGATTGCAATCGACAACATTGAATTGCAGATCGACGAGAATGCAAATCTCGATGGCGGTGGCGCTCGTGAGATTTGCGATCGCCGTGGAAATCGTGATTTAAATATATATATATATATATATAGATAACTTTCAATGATACCAAAGCAAGTTTCGGCGTAGCTTTTAGAAAAATGTCCCGTAATAATCGTAATCCGCAGGTGGCGAATTCGTGGTAGGGGATTGGAAAGGGGATAACTTACGAGTCCCATCGCCATCGGTATCGATTCTCCAACAATATCCTGGATTGACCAACTTCCGGGATGCAGTAGCAGGATATTTCCAACGAAGAGGTTTGCTACTTAGAGCCTCGTGATCGGATTCTACCCGGTCGGTTTCGATATTCACCGGACTCTGCCTCGAACCCGCCGCCATTGGGAATTTCTCCACCCAAGTGCTGGGTCCTGCGAAAAAGAAGGAAATGAAAAAAAAAAAGAAAGAATATTTTATTACGTGTTATTAAAAGCTTTTATTAATCGTAGCAATTAGCGTAATTTACGAAGAATCAAAAATTATATATCTAATCTAATCTCTCTAATCTTATCAGCAACCGCGTTGCAAGACGTAGTATTTCTTATCGTGAAGAGAAAGGAGGAAAGGAAGAGCGGATATCTGCGCCTTGAAATATCGATGCAGTTGTTATATAGGCATAGCGTGATATTACGAATTTGTTAAATATATATATATATATATATATATATATATATATATGTGTGCGTGTGTATGTATGAAGTGAAAAGTTCATCGGTCTTGGAATGGATTCTGTCGAACGCGCGACGTGTTAAAGTAATATTACAAATAGAGAAATGGTTCTGTAGAAAACGATTGAAAAGTCTCATTGTCAGTCGTGATGATGGTCGAGACAGCGACCTCGATTGATATCACGGAAAGCATCGCACCACTTCCCACAATTAGATTGTTCCTAACAGAGGGACAATAAGATGACGACTTTTTACTACTTCCTATCTTGATCGTGACACCAATTATGAAATGGCCATTTCCTTTCTTTCCTTCTCTCTCTCTCTCTCTCTCTCTCTCTCTCTCTCTCTCTCTCTCTCTCTCTCTCTCTCTACCCCCTCCCTTTCTCAAAGGAACGCGTTATCTTCCCTCCTTTCTAAAATCTACTCTACTACCTTTATCTCGCCTAACTGTAAAAGACGTTCGTAAGGAAGGAAAGTTATGTTCCTAATGTATTCGGGAGCTGGTCGATAAATTCGAGACGAAGAATCGTGCGGTCAATGTGCCCGACGCTCGTGATTCGCGTAGAATAAAGTCACATGCTACGTGTTCAAACTCGACGAAATTGTTATCGGTTACGTGTGTCACGTGCAGCTGATTCCCATTAATTTCTTCTTATCAACGCTCGTGATTCATGCCGTTCTCGAGGTCTATGCCTGTTCACTCTCTCATAGAGTAAACTTTTCGATTCTTTAACGGACATTCTCGAAAAGTTTGTTTAGGAAAGAAAAGAATTTTTGCAAGACGATTCGATTTCAAAGCCTCCCGCTCTCCAAGGTCGATAGCAAATCTCTATGTTCAAGGTCGTCATGCTTGGCTCTGACATAGTAATCGATGATGAAATCATAGTCACGTGCGGACAGTCTCGCGCGTCATTAATTCGCTAAACGGTGAGCCTACTACATACATTAGATCGTGTTCCACGGTATTTTCATAGTTCACCACGTCACAGTTGCGTGAAATTTGATCGGATCTGTTCTAAGCTCGGGATGATTATAAAAGGATTAATAGAATCGTCGTCGACTTCTTTATTATCCTCATAAATATGATGTAATATTATGCAAAGTTATTCAGACAGACAGACAAACAGACAGACAGAATAATATATAAAAGAAGTAAAGTTCTTCAAGTATCTCGTTTAAAATAGAATAGGCCATAGGAAAGATTTTTACGGATTTTTCTGAATCATTTTGAAAACTACGAATGTAATGAAAAAAAAAAAAAAAAAAATATATATATATATATATATATATATATGCATTTACGTAAAATATTTACGTACGCTTACGTACGTAACAGTATTGCCCTTCGTACGACACTAATGGATTTTGTTACTTTTAAGGTAAATATTAGTATAGGAACTAACAAGGATTCGAAGACGAAGGACGGTAAGTAACGTAAGTAATCTTTCCAAAATCTTTGGATTCGAGGAGAATAAAAAGAGGACATCACGTACCACAGACGAAGGCTCCCATTTCGTTGGCTCGTGATAATCGAAAACGGTGAGGAACGATGAGAAACCGGTTCGTTCCTTACGGTGGTTGTTCTAGTCCTTAGCTTTCTCGAGAACGAAGAGATAAACTCTAGAGGACGAAAGATATAAAGCAACCGTACGCCCTCTCTCTCTCTCTCTCGCCCCTGATAAATACGTATAAGCGCATTGCCTTTGAAGATCTTGACAGTGACCTTGACGAGTGTGCAGTTTCGTTGAACGACGTTACAGAAGCTTATTATCGTCACTAAATCTTACCTATTCTCTGTCCTATCAGAAAGATAATATTGTTAGAGAAAACGGTATTTCAATACATATCATGTAACATCATTCTCCTCGTATATCATCCAACGCATACTATCGTAATCGAGATGAATTAGTTCGAGTCACAAGATTTTTCGATCGCGTCTCTCGTTATCGTTTCGCTCAAAATCAAGAATCTCAAATATTTATAGAGGTTTATTAGCGAAAGAAGAGAAGAGAAAGATTTGTTAATATGTAACGTAACGACGAGCATTAGATAGACATCCGTATCGTTTATTGAAACGATAACAAATCGTTATGAAATAATAAATCGAGTACTTGAGTTGGCACTTTTGTCCTGATAAAATGTAAGCCTCAGGACGATCATCTCAAGTGATCGCTATCAAATTAGGTACGTTCAACCTTGCCGTTAATGAATCACAGCTGGATATAAGGAAAAATCGTTAGATGCGACTAGAATTGTGCTTTTTCATCCACCTACGGAAAATAATTCCTTTTCATTTATCGTTATATTTCTTCCCTTCGGACGTTGCGATACAATTCGTCTAAAAATGTATAATATCGAAATTATTTACGATCGCTTATTGCGTTAGAAACGAGATATTCAAGGTTATTGTTATTAAACGATATCTAATTGCGGTGAAACGCTTCAAAATCATGGGTGAAACGATTCAAAAGACGCGCATTTAAAACGACCGTCCGATTGCGAAAGACGCGCACTTTAAAACGCGTGAGCGTTTTGTCCCACGACAAATAAAATGTGAGTAAGAGCCGTTCCTTTTATGTTAAGACAGGGAAAGCGCGGACGTGGAACTCATCCATCTTGTCTCGTCCGTGCCGTTTCTCGATCATTTCTATTCCACGCGCCGATCCTCACCATATCCATCTCACGCACACGCACATTAAACTTTAACGTAACGTATAGCGTGTACATATACTGCATACGTCAAGTCATGGACGTTCGCGATTAACACGAACCGAACTTGATTATTCCAAGGACGTGTTAGAGGATCGGCGGCTTTTAATGAGGTAATCAAAGTTAACCATCGACTCGTTTCGCTTTATACCGTTTCTTCTTGTTTTACGCCGTGTCTTTGTCTTTCCGCGCTCATTAAAAAGCGTGAAGCTTTTTAACTTCCTCGAAGAATAAATAAGCAACGAGGTGTTTAATCGTCAAGAGAAAGAGAAAAAACATAGCTAATACTTTTTCAGATACTCTTATTCAGGGAAATTCAATGAAAATCAAAGTTTAAAATAAATACGAAATAATTAATTAAATGTCAATAATTCGGTAAAATTTGTAATGGAATAATTTTTCTTTCTACGTTTCAATTTTGTAACGTATGATAAATTACGGATTCATCCTTATTCTCCGTTCGTTCCATTTATTACAAGTTAATAAAAAACGAGACGAGCGTTTCGCGAAGACGCAAAAGAGAAGGAGTCTTATTTCGTTGCAACGCCAACGTATCCTTTTTCCATGTTTCGCCAAGCTACGCGAAACAATAACTTAGTTTAGTTGACTCTCGGCGCATCGACGCAAATATCCAATTTTAGCCGAGATTTCAATTCGAGATCGTAACTTTTCATTGTCCCATCCAGAAACTGATACCAGCTCGTACGTTAAAGAAGATTTACGTTTAACGCAAGTCGATCGTTTGATTAAATAACCTTATAAATGATGCGCCGTTTTTCATCAATTTGAAAATACAGCCGTGCCTGTACTGTTATAAATGGGTTAACTCGTTAAGCGAGTACGCTCGGGGCAAAATTAATTTCAATTATTAAGCCGATAAGCAAAGTTGTTTTTCGTATGTATCAAATAAGTACATACATACTTGCATCGACCGGCTCGGTTACTTAACGAAACGTAACGACTCCAGCTACTTTCATTAATACTCGAGTGAACGTTTGAATATTATTATATTAGAATTCCCGTCTAATTTACGTCTAATTCGCATCTAAATTTGCCCTTTTGTTTGTTTTACGATTCTCTTCAAATGAAATTACGGAAAGTTTTTTATATGGAAATACAGAACGTATTTTATATACACGTATTTTATATAGAGTAGAAGGGGAGAAAGCGTAAAAGTGCGAGAAGGAAAGAGTTTTATTCGTTGAATCTATTTGCATTTTTCCTTACTTCTCTCTCTCTCTCTCTCTCGCTCTCTCTCTCTCTCTCTCTCTCTCTCTCTCTCTCTCTAAGATCTCCTTGAATGTTCCGAAATATCCATTTCACGAAGCCATTAAAAAAGAAAATCACGCGTGTCATTTCGATAAATACGTCTCGACGTCCGCACTGGAGGATGCGTTCAACCTATAGGAGGATAAACGTTCAACGAAAAGGGTCAACAGGTTGTTGGCTATCCGACAATGGCACTCCAAGCATGATCATTAGCGTGTGACAGAATAATGTCATTAACTTGGAACGTCCAAGAATTTCACGTGTCTCATGTAATCAACGCGGGATGACTTTACGAACGACGCAAGATCACTGTTTTCTTTTCGAGAGGAAAATTATCGGTTGGGCGAATTACACGTTACCGAGCCAAGCTGCAATAATTTCGTGACTACAAAGTGAATTATTTGAGCTGAGCGAGCGTTCGATAACGAAGACTCTCGGCGGGCGTCTGAAAGGCTTGGATCAGAGAGGCTAAAAAAGTGCTGTCTATCTTTAGCCAAGTCATAGAAAGATAGGAAATAAAGGAAGCATACTCTCGACAATTACCAGATATTATTCACTTTGTACGTACATTTTATATTCTTCTTGCCTTTCAAAAAGAAACAAAATATTTCCTAGGTAAACTGGTTCCCAACCGGTTTTCGTCTATATTCCTATTTGAAGGTACAAGACGTTAATGTAAACTCGATGGAAAATGTGCGAAAGGTATATGAAAGGTCTGAAAGAGACAACTTATTATTCAAATCGATATGCGTATAGATCCGTACTGGTGACACTTTTATCAGTCACTACGACGCACTTTACGACGATTTCGAATTTTAGTTTACTTCGAGGAAAGCCCTCGAATTCGATCGTTTTTTCTCTTCTCTATTTACGTTACGAAAGGAACGTTATCGAAACGAATATAATATTAGTTAGCAATTAATAAGTCGTTAAGCTTCTCTCTCTCTCCCTCCCTCCAACCCTCTGTCTTCTCCTTTCAAAGAGAGAACTTCCTTCCGTCCATTGAATAGTTAATTTGTATTCAACTTGACGAACGCCATAAGCCACGCCGTGCAAATAAAACGAAGATCGTTAGATTGCGACATAAAGAAAGAAAGAAAGAAGGAAAGAAAGGATAAAAAAAAATATATGTAATTAAAGGAAATCCTTTTCCTTTAATTGCATGCAGCCAACGGCACGAAGAACCTTGTTTAACGAGAGTCGCGAGTACCCTCGCGATGGAAAGTAAGATTTAGAAAAAGCATACCTTAATCACTGGTAGTTAGAACTTGGCTTGCACGTGACATCGCGTTGCCGATGAGATTATCGCATACCATTGGCTAGAAGAAGCGACTTTCTAAAGTTTCGTCGCGCATAGATGCACGCGCGCGTCTGAACGACTAGTATTTGTAGATAAGTGCGCATACTTATACTTAGTGTCGTAGAGGTACCTACAGTTTCGCTCTAAACAGAACGATTTGAGGGATTTCCAATGAAATCGATTTAATCGAAGATCTCTAAGTTTTGTTAACGCGACGGAATGAAAGCAATCGCACAGGCTGTAGCCGAATAAGACGCATGTACTTGCATAAGAATAATAGGCAATTCGGTGTACTTCCAATCGCGGTCGTTTCAAAGATCGAGGGTGTACGAGAGAGAGAGAGAGAGAGAGAGAGAGAGAGAGAGAGAGAGAGAGTACCAAAAGGAAAGAGAAATAGAAGAGAGTGATTTTGGGGCCACGGAGAAAAGGACGACGACTATGATCAAATAAGAGCGAACGACTATGATCTATAGATGACGAGGAGAAGCGAAACTGGGTCTGCGACCTGCTGTCCTCGCGTTTGCGACCGCATGCGATATAACCGCGCGTATACCAAGGATCGAGCGCGTGCCTACACACTTTAACAGGGACAGGTGCATCGGCCTGAAAGCACGAAGGGAAAACTATTGATTTTCATTTTACCCTACCTACCTATCTACCTACCTACCTGCCTGCCTGCCTGGCTGCCTGTTTGCCTGCCTGCCTGCCTGCCTGCCTGCCTGCCTACCTACCTACCTACCAAGTAAATCCCCTTTCTTCACGTACGGAGAGTCTGACTGAGAGACCTCCTTCCGCGAAAGCTGCAAAGGTTTTCATCGTTTGGCACGGCCAGTACGGCCGTATCTACATTTCGAACGGGAGATGATCGACCATCGGCTAATCGCTGTGCCATGTAAATGTAGAGATTAACGTCTTAAATGTCGTAAAATGTCAATTTTCTTTTTTCCTTTTTCTTCTCTATTTACAATTCGACGAGAAATTTGAGGTAAAAGATGCACGTTGTCAATGCCACATCGCTCTTTTCTTGACCCATACAATTTCTTACTTACTTTTTCGTTCGCTAGGATAACTTTTATTAACTCCGAGATCGTAACGCGCGCAAAATGACGATTGGCGCTCGATCTGGAAGCGCAAAGCGGTGTTAAAAGAGATACGTAAACCGGGGAAAAAATTGCAAAACTGAGAGAAAAGAAAAACGAGCGTATACGCGAGAAAAGACATAAACGCTCGTGTCGCTTAAACGAATTCGTGCGTGTAATCGATATAACTTAATTATATATATGAGTTCGCCATTCGTGCGACTCGCGCTAAGCGACGAGAGCACCAGGATGTGCGTTAGATATCTAAGTGTACGCATTTATAAGTAGTTAAATGTGGAATCTATTATGCGCCAATAGAGCAGCAACAAATGCTCCGCGCTCTCTAAGGAATAAGAAACAATTAATTATCGATGATAGAAACAATTAATTTTGTGATAATTCTGCGCATTTTCATCCATTCACTTTCTGCTAAGAAGTAAACCGTTCGAGGAAAGGAAATGTTTCAATATGAGATAAATAAAGAGGAAATACAAGCTATGGAGATAATTGGAGGGAAATCCGTTGTTAAAGAGTATTGAAAGAAATAAAACTCACCGTTTCGGCTCGAATAGTCCCACTCGTTCTTGGAGCCCATCTCGAAGGATAAGGACGGTATCGGATGTATCGAAAATTAAGATCCGCGTAGTTGAGATCCGAGTATAACTTGCTCCCGCTCGTTTTGTCGATTTGTACTGTTCTTTTGCTAGATCGAACGCGCCACTTTTGCCCGTTCGCGCAATTTTCCAAGAAAGTATCGCGTCTGATTTATTAATTTAAAAAGTATTTAAGGACGAACGAGATTAGAAGAGCCTTCTGAGAGGGGAAACGAGCGCGTAAATAATGAAAAATACAATAAAGAGAATTTCGAGCCGAAGAAAAGAGACGGAGGAATCTCCTTGCTTCGTGATCGAATCGGCGTGATACTTCGAGCGCGTTCGGTTCCTCTTCGTGCTCTTTCGTCCTTCTCAACAGAGCAGCTTTTATTCTCCCTCTCTCTCTCCGTCTCTGGCTTTGCCTCTTTGGGATGCCTTTCGATTCGTACCGACTCGCGACCGTGTGTCCACCGCTCGCACGAGAATTTCCACGAATGTAACGCCGGCCGGCGCGTCCCCAGGGTTTATATTGCGCGCGGTCACGTGACCGACGCTAACTTCTTGGCGCATGCGCGACAAACATTACACACGTGCGACTTTACCCCCACTCTATCGGGATTAGTCCGCGCGCGGACGTACAACGTTCAGGATCTTCTTTCTTTTTATCGGTCTTAAACATTTTTTACCAGTCATCGTTGAAAAAATTTCAATTTGAATATGAATTGTGCGTATGGCATCTAAAGAATTATTATATATATATATATACATATACATATATATATATATATATATATATACACGATAAAAGGAAAACGTGATGAATGTTTCTTTAAACGGAAATGTAAAGGTATTTAGAGGCATAAAAAATATGGCTCGACTCTACTCGCGCCTCGTCTCGTAACATTGTGTGACAGATAGTTTACAACAACAAATTTCACGGTCTCGGTGCAGCAAACATAAAGAAGAACAGATGGTTTTGGTACAGATGTTACTCTCTGTTCGAATAAAAGAACGGGCAACATTTCGAGGAGGTAATTCGTTCGAGGAAACACGCATCTTTCTTTTTATTAAACAGCTGGTAACATTTGTCACGATAACGTTATGTCATAGAACGTGCTTCGTAAACGTCATCGTTCTGCCTCCATTATGCCAATAAAGTGAATCGGTCGAGTTTACGACTGTACCAATAAAAATTAATGAATTCTAGTAATTTCTATTCAGAAAGCATTCTTCAAATCTTTCGGGTTTATCGAAATTTTACGTTAAAAGAAATTTGAAATTTGAAGGAAAACTTGATTTCCTTCTTTCCGAGCGTCCTCGGTTTTATCGATAAAAATTCACTTACCTGTACGTACAAATAAAATAATAAAGCAGTCCATCGTAAATGTCGTCGTACGATGTGTCGTGCGACCATTGTATCTTTTTATTCGTGAATGATTACGTTTCTAATCGAAATGGAAAATTTATCGTTAACGTTATCATTGAACGTTTTTCTTTTCGCTTTTCTTTGTTTTTTTCCCTTTTTTCCTTTGATAGGTACTTGCATTTTCGAAAAATTTTTCAAAGTCAGCAAGATGCTAAAACATGAAATTTATTCATTTGTGGCGACTGACGCAAACGACCAAACGTAGTCCATAGAAATTGCTAGCTCTGGTCTGCATTTCAATCCGAAATATATATTATATATGTAACCGTGCGAATGCGAAATTGTATTCTAGCACCGACACGGACGGAACCGACGCCTTACATAATCAAACGAATTCAAATATTTCAATATATTAAGTTGTACCGTGCGAATAATCGAACGATCTTATAATCGAATGGATCGGACGGCGAAAAATAAGTTCGCTCGTTGTTCGGGAGACTTTCGAAGAAAATTAATTTCGTAAAAACATAATGTATTTGGGTACTTCGATGAATACGACGCGATAATTTACATTTAAACGATACAAAAAGAGATAAGTCGCGTCTGTATATAGTATAGGTATATATCCTCTAAACGTCGTAGCCCGTTCAACTCTGGAAGCAACGATCGATCTTTTTCGCGTGACTCTCGTTGTCAGTCGTTCCATGTCGTTCTATCTCGTATTACGTATCGTACGTCTATTTACGATTTTACTTTTTTATAATCAACGTTATCCTCAATGTTAATAATTTTAACGCATCCACGGAAAGCTCTTCGACTCGAGACAAGTACAAAGGACGTATACGTCGTACCCTAAAATGGCTTTATTAAGTCGTAACCTTACACGTGTTTAATATGTAGTACTTGCCACAGATATATTCCGTAAATGTATATCATTGTTTCAATATTCATTCATTCATCCTCGACGACCAACGTGCTCGATTACGTACGTAGGGGGCTTGTAAAGTAATCATAGCGAGGCATCCATTAAAATCTACTCGCAATTATTCCCACATGTTAAAAATTCAATTTTTACCTTTGCGTTTTATATAGTATACAAAAGTGTCTCGTCTTTTAAACCTTTCTTTTTTTTGTTTTCCTTCGCGAAAAATACGCCGACAATGACGTTTACTTTAGAGATAAAAATATCGTCAAACTTCCGATCAGTACTGCCGTCAACTATATATCTATTTACACACACACGCTCGCACACACACTGTATATATATATATATATATACACACACGCACACACACAAACACACACAAACACACACATATATTTATAATTATGCAAATCGTACGGACGATACGATACCTAGCGTCAATTTTCTCTCTCTCTCTCTCTCTCTCTCCCTCCCTCCCTCCCTCCCTCCCTCCCTTCCTCCTTCAAATGGTAATTTTCCATAAACTTGGGGCGTTCGATCGATCGATCGATCATTTTTCATTCTATTATTTCTCAGGAAAAAAAAAATTCAAATCCGAAAATTACAGTGAGATCTCTCTGTTTTGGTTACTTATCGTAATCGGCTCTTCTTTCTACTTGCTTCTTTTCCATATCCTTTATACAATTATAAAATATTTTCAAGATACACTCGCAGGCCAGGAATAAAGTCCGAGCAATTCTTGATGCATCCCCTTCTTCTTGAGAGGACCCTTTCAACGAATTTATCGTTGAAAACCTTCGAATCGCATCGTCTCTTGTCACATAAATATCGTACACACGATTTATCATACACAATCATCATTTTCACGGTAACATGATGGAGCGCTTTAAGAAGATGCACGAGCGATGATATGATTAAAAGCATGATATGAAAAGAGCTTGTTTATCGCAGCTCGCGAAGAGATAAGTCCGCTAAAGCGAATCGCGCGTATCGAGATTGGATTCGAAGACGTTTTACTTTTTCTTCATTATCTGATTACGTACGAGAGAAAAAAAAAAGTAAAAGAAGAAAAGACACATACTTACGTACTGCACCTTCTCTTACATCGTAATTCATAAAAATGTGTCCGATAATTAAGCTTCGTTATGTAACGATTTTTCCGTTATAAAAATTACTGTCCAATCGTAGGATAAGAAAAGAAAAAAAAAAAAAAAGAAAAATAAACTAATTACGACTTTTTACCGAACGAATATATCGGCGCGTCCCTGTGACTACGCTTTTGGAAAAGTTTATACGCGATAAACAAGAGACAATGAGAAGGATTCCAATCGTCGTGTTATACACAATAAACTCTCAAAGAGAGTTTACAAAGACGCGAATTAATATATAATATATATTAAAGTAATTTTTAGCTTGCATACGAAACATCCGTCTGCTATATGTTACATACAATCGTTATCACCATTCACACGATTTTCATAGGAGTTTCACATCCCCACCAACAAATTTGCGGCTTCGTCGACCGTCCGTCGACATCATTAGGTAGGACGAATAAAAAACGAAGCCTCCAAACTTGAGGTTGCACCGATACTTTTCTTTCTTTCTTTCTTTCTTCTTTTTTTCTCTTTTTTCTTTTTTCTTCTTTTTTTTTTTCTTAATCGTTTCTTACATTTCCTTTTCAAAAATATCAGGAAAAAGTATCGAGGTATCGAAGAAACGGCTGTATGCGTTAGATATTTTACCCGTGTATCGTGTCCCGCACTCTTTTTTCTCATAGCAGGAACACGCAAATTATTAACGGTGGCGCTTAGCGACACGCCTAAAAAATTACAAAAATGATTATAAAACGTATTGTGTCCTTGCGCAAGCCATCCCGAACACGTTCCTTTCTTTTCTCTCTTTTCTCTCTTTTCTTTGTTTTTTTTTTCTTTTTTTTTCTTTTTTTTTTCTTTTTTCTTTTCCTCGTGTGTGTGTGTGTCAACTATTTTAATCTCATTCCCGTTCGTTAAATATTAATTATTTTTGGCTTGGTAACTATGTAAAAATCTAAATTAAATAACGGTTTATTATTCGTGTACGAATGCGTTGGTATTTGGATCAAGGTTAAAGTTGATTATTAACGTTGATCTAAATCCCTTATCAAAATAATTATAATAGAAATTTGGTGAAATCAAAGGGCAAAGTTAATCTTACGTCCGGCGATGATCGTACGATTTGTACGTGCAAAAGAGCTTGGCTGCCAAGTATTGTGCGTGAAAAGAAGAAAAAGTAGGATCGCAATGCGTAATTGCAATTTTACGCATAAAGAAGAACGTAAATGCTATGACGCTTGTCTGGCAGTATTCAAATATCATCGCTCCAAATACCTCACAGACTAATAATGTCTATCGAACGGCAAATAGGTATAATATACATATTTATATTTTTATATGTATATATATATATATATATATATGTATATGTATATGTATATGTATATGTATATGTATATGTATCGTATATATTATCATCATTTCTTTCTTTAGTCTGCATGGCCTACGGTGCCAATGGAAGCATTTTGCTGTCACTTTACAATGGCATTGCACGAACCAATATTTAAAGATTCCCGCGTCAAAAAGTTGTCGGTTTCTCCTTATGAGAGACTATGTTTTATCAAAACGATGATGATTCCGCGATAAGCGCCATTTTGACTTCATCTTAAATATATGCATATAAACGTTAAGTAATCTTCCGTCTTACGTTCGCAGTGATTTGTTCAATTCGCACGGTAAATAATCCTAAAGGAAATAAACAACGTTCGAGATGTAAGAAAAATGTGTCGGTCGATTAATGAACTGACGCCCCTCCCCCACTCCGCCCTGAATCACCGGTTGTACGTCGCTATAGTACTTCTTTTTTTGGCAGTGTTACACGTTGTATGCACGATTAAAAGAGTTTCGTTCAAGTTCTTGATACTTCTTGAAGAAGCTTAATTCTCTTAAGATAGGTAATAGGTCGTAGAACCAACATGCGTAAATACGCGATGCATTCGTCACGCTTATTGCTTAAAAAATGGCACTGATTAATGAAATACGAAAGTCGTTGACTGTCCAGAGCATTATTTCAAATAGAATTATACCTTTGCACCTATCCACCTTTGTTGGTTCTACAATGATCTAAACTAAATTTACTCGTCCGATCGGAGCAATGAGAATCCTTCTCTACAGTTTGAATTCGTTACGAAAGGCAACGCGTGATTTCTATTCCGTACTCCTTAAAAAATAATATATCGAAAAATGAAGAAATCGTACGATATTAAGAATCAATGAAATGAAATACGTTAATAAAAAGTTATGACAGGTTGTTCATTACGTAACATTCTCGCAAACGTACGCGGCCAACTTATTTTCAATCCATATTCGTCCGTTGTAGAAGAAAAAAAAAAAAAAAAAAAAAAAAAAAAAAAAAAAAAAAAAAAAAAAAAAAAAAAGAAACGTAATAAGTAAAAAACGTGCAATTACAGATTTCCCTGTAAGAGAAATCATTCGGTTCGTTATGCGATACTCCGTGCAAGAAAATAAAAAGTTCAGTGATCGCTGTAAACGCTTAGGGCCCCGTAATTTTCAACGTTTCCGCCGAACTGAGATTTCTTGTAAGAATCCTTTTGCTTTTGCACGTGTATCGGTGATGCATCTCCGAGCATAGCTAGCATGTATTTGCGCGTAGGCGAGTGCACTGCATTTTGTTAGGGAGGCACGTATGGGGGCGGTTTTCTGTACGTCGGCGTTGGCTTCGGACGATTTTGTCGATTTGTATCGCGATTCGTCGCAAACGGCGGCGGCGGTTGATAAGGTTCCTCGGAATTTTCTTTCGGCAACATTGGCACGTCCGCGCCGTCCTCGGTCTTTTGATATTCAGGAGGTGGAAGCGGTGGTTTCTCTTCCTTCAAGATAACGGGCGACTTATTGCCTAAAGTAAAATCAAAATTCACATTAGACAGTAATTTAAAGTTCGAACACGAGCGCATTAATCGATCGAATATTGTTTGGCAACAACAAAATAATTTAAATACCTGGGTCTGGTTTTTCATCGAGCTCGTCCTGAAATATCACGGGTATTCCCTTGCTACGGAAGCTCTGTCGCTCATCGTCCTGCTCGCTAACGCTCATCTTTCCGCTGCGTCTACGTTTGTAAAGTATGCACGCGATGATGCCGGCGAGAATGAGCATGGCCGCTATTATAATGGCGGGCAGAACGAAGGTTATTAGATAATCATCGTGGAATGCACCGATCGAGGTGGAATCGTCGACGGGTGGCACGTGACTGTCCGGAGAATGAACGCCCGTCAATTCACCGCGACATATTCCCATTGGGATTACAGTGATTTGCTTAACTGGAAACTTCAGGCCCATCACGTCCAAAACCTCGTCGGTAACAGATCGTCTGTCGTTGTCGCTCTTAACCAATACCGCCCGTAATCTATTAACTTCTTCGTGGGCACAATAAGCCGTTGGTAATGTTCTGTTGTGCCACGTGATGACAGTACTGCCGTTCGAAATGCTGCGCAAAGAAATGGCGCTTGTGTCACGGTCGTGATACAAGTCACGCAATTTTTCAACAAAATTGCGTTTTTGCATGGCAGAATGAGCGAACGATTCGTACGGTATATCCAGAGTCATTGAAAACTCAACCGTATGCGTCATGGGTGGAGCCGGATGTACAACGACCACTAAACCGTCCGTGGCGCTTGCGCCTGCAATTAAAACATATGTACACAAAGATTATGAATTAATTTTATTGCATATTATTTATATACGAATTAAAACAATCCTTTTTGATTACCCTCTCTATCTGTCACGACCAATTGATATTCCTTTCGACCTACGTCATTTTGCAGAGGCACGCCATAAAATTCTTGATTTTTATTATCAAACTGTAACCATTCGTCGGGCGGAATAGGAGTACGTTCGATCGTCAAAAGAGACATTTTCATATTGCGAGAGGATCCGTCTTCTGAATCGAAGAACGTGTCCTAGAGACAATAGAAATATTTATTTATAATAAATTCCAATTGAGTTAGAACAACGTAATCAATAAAATTTATTATCCTCTATCTCAAGAAGATCAATCGTTCCTCTATTAAAGATCCATTTGTTCGAAAACCATAATAATACGTACCTCTGGGACTTTGAATACAAGCAACTCCCCAACGGTGGCATTTACGTGATCCACTTGATTCCTTGGAACAGGAGGGAAATTTACTTTGGGCTCTTCGGTATGAGCTTTAGGTATTACCGATTGACGATTCATATCCTCGCACTGTCCGATCCCTTGGAAGACGACACGCTTCACTCTTAATTCAGGTGCCAAAGCTCCTCTCAATAAAGGACTAGGATCACCGTCCTTATCGATCAAAATCTAAGTAACGATGCAAAATATTTGTCTTAGAAAATGTAAGAATTTCTAATAATTAAAAAATGATATTCTTTCTGTAAATTCTATTCCGTAAATACGTACGCGTAATAGTTCATTTATGTGATCCTTGGGACATTCGCTACTACGAGGGAAGGTGTCGTTCATCCAAGTGAAAATAGCTTGATCGTGATCGATGTCGATAGCTCGTACTGTAATATAATACGGATCTGCGTCGCCGTATAGTTCGGCCAAACTTCCAATAACCTAGAACGAAAACGTTACAAATTGTTATTGCCTCTGCGAATTGTGGAAATATCATATGTGGAATACCTGTAATTCCCAATCAACATCGGTCGGGAAAAGATTGCGCTTATCTATTTTTAGATAAATACTAAATTCATGATTGACGATGCGACTCAATCTGTGCTGTTGAACGTGAACATCCAATATGTCAGAGACATTTAGCCCACCGCTATCCGTGGCCACCAATTCGTAATTCCAAGTAGAAATATCATTTTCGAGGGGTCTGCAACGATGGAAATAATGAAAAGACGATGGATGGATGGATGGATGGATGGATGGAAGGAAGGAAGGAAGGACGGAAGGAGAGAGAGAGAGGGAGAGAGAGGGAGAGAGAGAGAGAGAGAGAGAAGCAGATAGGAAATAAAAGTTTCCGATGATATATACTTTACGACTGTGCACTTACAATCCGTAGACTTCTTGCGTACGAGGATTGAATTGAAGCCAATTGGTTGTTTTAATCGGTACACCTTGCAAATATAGAACCAATTTTAGATTTCTCGTATCACCATCCTCGGGATCGCTGAAGGTGTCAGCAGGTATAACGTAACTTAACGGTTTGCCAGCTATCACACGAAGTTTCTTCAACCTTCTATCCTTTTTGGGTGGCAAATTGCTAATTGGAATTTCAATATTTTCCGTCGTAGCTTGCAACGGTGGAATCGTAACGGTCATAGTAGATTGAGTCGCGGTAGTACTAGGGACAGTAGTACTACTAGTGATAGTAACACCAACGGTAGACGTGGCCATCTCCGATTTCGTGTTAAATGTAGATAGCGTAGGAGTTTGCGTGGGCGGAATAGTCGTAGGGGCACTTGTACTCCCAACGATTGTAGACGACGCAATTGGGGTGGTCGTTGTAGGTTGACGTTGCGTTACAGGTACAGTCATTCCATATGTCGCCTAAATAGAGACCGAATAAAAATCTGAGGTAAGATCGAGGAAGGAATCCTCCTATTTCTTTGACAATATAACGATAAAAGCTCAAATCTTTTATATAATAATCTTACACCTGACGCGACCTAATGCGAGAATAAGCAGGAAATTAATGAATATTCGATGCGGACTAGGTAATCGAAATAGGAGCAAAATGGACTATCATACAAATGAAAAGCACAAAGCGTAGAAGCATTACCTCTTCGTACGTAACGTTAGCAAAAACAGTGGTAGGTTCTGTTTCTGCTTTTCCCGTAGCGCTGGTCGAAGCAGCTGTTGTGCTAAATTGAAGCGTAGTAATCGATGGTAGAGTGGTTGTGATTTCGGGAGAAATTGTGGGTAACAGAGTAACAGATTCCATGTCCACGCCTTGAGTATTATCTTCCCTCTCTTCCATAATATCCACCTTTGTAGGTTCTGTTGACGGAACAACGGTGGTCGAAGTGGTAGCTGGTGTTGTATCTGCTATTGTGCTTGTCGTAGTAATGCTACTTGTAGTAGTAGTAGTAGTAGTAGTAGTAGTAGTAGGAGTAGTAGTAGTAGTAGTAGTAGTAGGAGTAGTAGTACTCGTGGGCATTGTCGTAGCTTGAGTCGTTGTGGTTGAAGTTGTCGTAGTTGGCATGGTTGTAGTGGTTGTAGTTGTTGATGATGATGATGATGATGATGATGACGGTGTAAATTGGGTGGTTGTTGTCTGCGAAATCGTTAGTAGATGCGATGTAAGGCACGAAAAACTTTGTTAGTTACATTAGAGGGAGAGCGCGAAGGTGTATGGCAGAATACTTTTGATCTCTTCTATATCGGATTCATCGCAAGATAGAGCCAATACGCTGTATGGAGTTTTAATTATCGACCTACATCGTCAGAGTGTGTCTAATCGGGATGGCTTAGCTACTGTGTACTGCGCGAATACTGCAAAATATTTGTCGACTATCCTAAAGGACGTACGAAATACAATTTTTAAGCACGGCACGTGACCCCCTTCAAGCAATGGCACAGCAAATGAGCGTAGACAAAGAAATGACAATTTCGATAAAAGCCGCGCGATTTAGCGACACATTTTTCAACAACTTTCTTTTCTCTTCTTTTATATGCATGTATACGCGTATAATAATTCTTCTTTCGGGAAAGAATTATACTTACGGTCAATAGACCATTGAACGAGGCGTTAGCGGCGTTTGACTCAACGTTACGTGGATCTACAGATGGTACGATTTCTCGTTCGTCAACCTCTTCGTTCTGCTGAAAGGAAAAAAGATTAAAACGTTTATTCGATTTAACAATTTGATTTTTAAGGATAATTCAAATATAGACAGTCTCTATGAATTATTTCGTACGCCCAAATCCAATGTTTCTTCTCCATGATGATGCCTATGCGGATGTTCCAACCATTCGGTGTTTCCTCTCGAGTTTACGTTAGGCACGAAAGACGGTTGCAACGGTGGTTCCGTGATCGCTTCGTTATCATCGCCACCGTCCTCGTCCTCGCCATATTCATCGTCGTCATAATCGTAACCCTCGTAATCGTCGACGTCGAAATCGCCAGATCCGGCATCTCTACGGCTTCTAGATAGAAAGGTCGAGTCAGTCTTTACGCGCCACAATAGTACAGGAAGTTGAAGAACCTCCGCTAGTGTCCCATCTTTCGCCTGATCTCGCAGCTGTTTGACCAAATTCGTCTGGTGCCTCCATAAGTGACCGTCGCACCCAACCTGCAGTCACCAAAAGTCTCATTATTTACAGTCTATATATATATATATATATATATATATATATATATATATATATATAAAATTTATATATAAAAGAATACTAGGATAATCATTTACAATACATTTACCTGCCATTGGATGGCCGTCAGATGCCTCTCGGTACGATATTTAACATTGCCAGGGCCGGTAAATATAACCAGAGAATCGGAATTCAAAGTTTCCTTAGCGCTTTGCGGGTGCATAGAGAATGCACTCTGAAAACGAGATAATGAAGAACGTAAGTATAACCTGTATGTGTATTATAGAGGATAAAAGAATACTAACCGTGTGGAGTCCCAAAAATCCAGCAAGATTCTCGATCGCGTTTACTTTAACGGACGGTGTGAGATTCTCGAACTTGACATCCAGAAAGATCGTTAGCAGCGTCTGGTCCTCTCCTTCCTTACAGTGACTCTAAAATGGGAATAATCGTTTTAATATCCTCGCATTTCGTTTATACGACCGTTGCAAATGAAACCTGAAGAATTAATAGGGTCGTTGGATACTTGGAAGCTTACTCGTACGTCGGTGACGCATGACAATATCAATTGGCATCAATCAGTTACCGTCTACGAAACTAATTTCTTTATGAGATTGAAATATAGCAATAAATCGCAACGACAAATCGACGACAAGGAGCTTTTAACGTCAATATATATCGTGTATATATAATGATTTTTCGAAATTTAAACAATTACGTAGTTACAACGTTTTCCTTTCAAATTATTTATCTCTTTAACCAATCTACTAGCATAAAGGACGATGAAAATGAAAATTAGAAATCGAATAGTGCGATATCGTGTCAGATGCTTCCTTTAATTGCGAATCGATAAATAAAGAAAGATAGTATCCAAATAAACAAATGTAATCGGAGTGTAAGAGGTTCATTCAACGTCGATTTAAGTTTTAACGAGAGCATTAATTTTAATCGATCGAACGAAACCGAGTTATCCGATGGCCGAATTCGCCTTAAAAGCATATCATTCATTTTATCTTTCGTTCGGCTTCGAAACTTGACCTAGAAACTGGCGAATGGGTACCTGTTACGTGTGCGAGCTGGACGTAAAACGCTTGAAACGTTGCCAAGAAAATATTTTCTTCTGAAGCCGGAGGCAACCACGTGGAGGAGTGCCCGACACACGGTTAACAAAATCGATAAAGACTGAGAGTTAGTCGATAGGAAAAATCACTCAGTTTTCCACGATATGTTTCAAATCTAACGACGTTTCTCCGATCCCTTTATGTTGCGATATATAATTTGTCGAAAATGACAAACTTTAATTTTACCTTGCCGTCTTTATGCTTGACCTCCTCGCGTTTCTCCGGAACTACCTGCACGACGAAAGCGTCTTTGGCGTTGTCGCCGTGTTTCCCGATAGCCTTGACGATTAAATGATGATTACCGGCATCCTTCTTCGATGGGACACCAAGAAGAGTGGAAGCGGCATCGTCCCAGTACAACCAACGGGACAGGCTCTGTCCATTTGCCTCGTGTATCTGAAAATCGTGATGAATTCGATTCGATATATCTTTGCCAAAGTGAAATCGAAGATTTCAAGGGACAAAGATCGCAAATTGGATAGCAAACAAGACTCATTCGGATTGTTGGCTGTTCTCCCGTAGAGAGAGAGAGAGAGAGAGAGAGAGAGAGAGAGAGAGAAAGGGGGGGGGGGAGCGGCGGACGGAAGAACGATTGGAGCGAGTAAGTAAACTTTTGACGTTGAAACGCGACATCGGTACTCAAGAGAGAGTTTGGCACTTGTCCAGATATATATTGAGGGAGAAAGAAAGATATCACCTGTGCGAGTAAGGCGATACGAGTCACTCACCTCGTAACGTTCTACGCTACCACCGAAAGCTTGTCTCGTGATCCTTAATTTGAAAATGTGACCGACTGGAACGACGACATCCGGTATATCCCATAATCTCTCGACTCGATGATGTCTCTTTGTATCTTTCGTCAATCTTCGATCGTGTTCCACTACGTTTCTACTACGATCAGCGATGTGCCTCTCGATCGAGGGAGTACTGCTACTTTCCTCGCCGATGTCGTCAAAGACCAGATCGTCCTCTTGCAAGTTATATCCCAGCACTAGAGGCAGGAGGAGGAGGAGGAGTAGGTACGTCAGGATATGAGGCTTCATCATTTTTTTCTTCAGGCTCGCTTGTATCATACCATGCTGCTACACCTGTAAATTTTATTACTACTTAATACGATATGGAATAATTCGAGATATTTAAAAAAAACCATTTAAAGAGCAATACAACAGTCAATCGAGTAAGCTATTTTATCGAAATAATACATTTATCATCGCGTCGTCGTGTCGATAAAAATAGCTTCGACAATTTCTATCAGTTGCTTCATTCATTCAATATTATAATTGTACCGAAAGGGAACGGCGTTGATGATGCTCTTATGAAAAACTTTGAGAGAACGAACCGTATCACCCCTTCGTTCGCAGTTTTTCTACGACGTGATCGATGAGAGCGAGAGGAGAGAGAAGTTGGATTGAGAATGGGATCGTCGGCTGATTCAAACGACGGTACGAGTCGTTACGGTACGAGAAGAACGCGAAGAAGAAAGAGAGAAGAAATTACGATAGAACCACCAGAAAATTAAGAAGAAGGAAAATTGATTCGGGAAATAAATCGTTGAAAAATAAACTATCCAAGATCCGTTACGATGCTCGTACATAGGCAGAACAATCGCATTTTGGTTTCTTCTTGTCAAAAGCACGAACGTTTAAATACAAGTGCATAACCAGGCAATATAATACAACAGCATTACGTTTTCGGTTAGGAATGTCGAGCATCGTTCTCTACGGGATAGATAGACTTGTACGCGTGCGAGAATACATCATCGTATTCCCTCATATAAGAACGAACGAGTCTTTATGCGGGTGGAATATCGAAGAGGAGGATGATGTCATTGGACGCCTCGGTTCGGCTTCCGAGTAAAATGATGCATAAACGTTGTCCGTTCTGTAAATAAAATTCGTTAATATACCGGATGATAAATACAGATGGTTAGCGAAACGAGATAGGGGCCACACTCGGGTGTGGCATTTCTAAGCATCCAAAAATGCTCATATTATTTGTTTCTTATAAATTAACAATGGACTCGAAATATTTATCTTTCGAATAAATTTTAAATGCGGCCTATAATGTAGTAAAGGTAAACAAGTGAAAATCTTTACTTAATATTCACACCGAAACGTTCGTCGACTGATAAAAGGATATACGAAAGACGTGCACGAGAGAGTCTACGACGATCGTTCTTCTCGCGAGGTTACGCGAATAGAATGTAGAATTGGTCGGATGTCTCTCAGACTTGGAGGCGCCGAACGGAAGTGTTGGCTTTGAGGCTTAATACGATCGATAATGTACTATGAAAGGGATCGATAAAAACCAAAAGCATTTTGTCCTTCCACAATAATGTATCTTATATCGCCTACTCGTATCTACTATCGATTTTCCATGGATATAGACCAATCGTGCGACATCCGTTCTAAAAGAGTTCGCACAGTTGGAACACGTTCTTAACATTCTTATAGAAACCGGGTGTGAAAAAGAAAGATGATATCGTATTATAAATCGTACTATGGAGGAGTGCTTGACGGTGGCAATGGATGACCTGTCCATCCATCAATCTCCGTGTCCCCATCCCTCCTCCCCGTCTGTCCACGCGGCCGTCATAATCGACGTTACGCTATGTCAAACTTGGCGTAAATTTAGTGCGACGACCGATCAAGCGTAATTAGATTTGACATAGGATCGTTGAAAAACCACGGATCCTCGAAGGAATCACGGTTAGATCACGCTTTACGATATTTACATTTACATTTTTTTCTTTACCATTGAATCTCTCGATTTTTCCTATAAGATTTCATTTCGAATTCTCTGGCGTAAATCGAAAGAAACGTCCTAACGAATATTGAAGAATAACAATAAGCATTAATGAAATAGAGAAAAAAAAGAAGCAAGAATATTCACGTTCGGCGATAAGGAGCGACGATTAATCGTGGTAAATAAAAGAGCAAATAAATGATATCGCGTTCGTCTGATTTATAATGAAATTTTTCGAAGGAAATCGGAAAAAGTGGAAAAAAAAATTGCAAAGCTTTTCTCGCATTCGCAACTGCAAGCTAATATTCCGCGCAAGATAAACATTAGGATATTTACAAACGATTCGATTTCTCTATTCTCACGTTCCAACGCAAATTCGTTATTTCCCCAAAGATCGTTCTAGTCTCTCACGATCAGTCATACATCCTATTCGTTAATATCTATGGCAGATATAAAATAGAGATAGCGATTTGATTCGCGAACGTGGTTCGAGTTCGATGTTCGGAAAATAAACGACGACTGCTGACAAGTCACCGAGTGAAAATTTTGGAACGGACAATGACGACGCGGCTTGGCGAGGGGATCAAATTTTTATTAAAATCCGTCAAATATTTTATTATCGTTTTTTCTAAATCACTTCTATATCAATACGTGATATTTGGTAAATTATCCTTTCAGAGAGAGAGAGAGAGAGAGAGAGAGAGAGAGAGAGAGAGAGAGAGAGAGAGAGAGAGAGAGAGAGAGGGAGTGGATGTCTCTCGATGAGAACTGAATTAACGTGCATTTGGTCGTAGCGGGCTCCGTAACGATTTGCATAACACCCATCAAAAACCAGAATATGGGATATGTTAAAGCACTTTTCAACGATTTAACGGCCCATTTATTTTTCATATATATAATACGGAGAGATGGTTATATTTCGAGTTCGTAAATGTCCAAATTGAACGTGACACTTGACGCTTAATCAATCCACCGTAGAATTCAACGAGCAACTCGAGTTTATACGTCTAGCCGCCTATTTTCTCTCTTTTCCTTAGAACGGTTCAAACGCGGATGCATTTTTCAAAAGGGATCGGAACCCACTGCATTCCGATCGAATTGAAATCCGGATGTCGAAGAATAATAAAAGAAAACGTCGTTCGTTCGCTCATTCATTCATTCATTTAATCGCACGCACAAAGCAGCCTTGTGCTCGAACGTGAATCCAAAGACCGATCGAAAGGGAAAAAAAGGTCTGAGATTTCACGCTGACAGTTATTTCTGAAGTTATAAACAGTGACGTCAGCCTAGCGATATCAAAAGGAGACGAATGAATGTTTAAAATGAATCTCCGGGCGTTCCGACGCTGCAAGCATCATCTCTTCCTTAGGATCTAAATTTAAATTGATCTCAAGGCGTTTCCGCCACCACCCTTTTAAATCTTTCCGTTCGGGAAAACGAATTATTTAAAAAATGTTTAAGTAAGTATCGAATCCAAGCGATTAAGATCCTTCCAATGGAACACAACTCAACCCGTTAACGAAAAATCTTTCTCTCGCGGAAATGTAAACGTTAGGAGAATTCGACGGATTGTTTTCGTTGGATCGTTCGAAGGAAAATGCGATCCAGGTTGCGACGAAGCGCACACGCACACACATATACTTCAAACTCGACGCGACCCGCTCCGATATTGATCGGACCCTCTGCTGTATCGGCTTAACCGAGCTCTATACATAGAAACTTAAGTAACCATTATCCAGTTTCCAACTTATATCTTCGATCAGTTTTGAACGACATTCTTTTCGATAACGTTAAAAAGAGAAACGATCGTACTTTGGAAAGAGCGACGGATCGAAAAGTAGTAAAGTTCGAGGAGAATTTTATTACCACTCTTTGTACACTTTGCTCCTCGTTTAAAGTCCAACGATTGGAATGGAAGGGAAAAAGAGAGGTGTAAAGAGGTGGAGAGAGGGGATGGGGGAGAAGAAGAAAGAAGAATTCTGTACCGAACGGACTCGATGTGCTCGTAATTGGATCGAAATAATTAAGCTAAAATAATTAAGCAACGGCCTGATTATACCAAATGGCCTATATAATGGCTCGCGTTTCCCACAAGAAGTGGACACTAGTCGTCGAACGATTATTCGCAATCTTTTCCGCTGATAATTCTCGATAAGGAACAAGCGCGGAAAGAGAAAAATCCTTATAGATGGGTACATCTACCTACCTCTCTACGTGCATGGATTTAAATTTGCATTTTTTTTTTCATTTTTATTCCCATATTAGTTTATACCATCGCGATCTTTTCATTCGCTTTTCCGCGATGGAAATTATCGTTTCGTTTATCGATACGAAAAAGGATTAACGAACAGCCCCGCTTTGCTCCCATTGATTAGGCTTATATTATATCGAGCAACGCGTTTAATAACGCTAACACGCTTAATCGATATTATCCCTTATGGGATATCGTAAAATAATACGATAGCGACGAAGAAAGAAAGGAAGGGTATCCCATTTCCCGAATTAAACCAAGATAAAACGTTTCTCCTTTTCATCCTTTCTTTCTCTCTTTATCGCGTCTGCTTTACGAGCTTCCGCTTACGAAATTTTCAAGTCTACTCGGACGGCATTTAATGCGTCTCGTGCGCACGTGCTGTGTACACAAAGGAACCGTTTGCTTAGTCTCTTTTGGCCTAGCAGATGTTACCGCGAACGAGCTGTAAAAGTTGTACCTAAATGTTTAACGAGATACTTGCTCGAAAACAAAAAAATTTATAATCCTCCTCTCGTAACGACAATCGTACGAGGAATCCACCGTCTTTGTTTTTTTTTTTTTTTACCATATTTACACGAAAAGAAAAAATTAATTCGATAATTAAAAAGGCTCGCGAGAGGTATTATTAAGATAGTGCAAGAGAAAGTTTCACTATTCCTACGGATTAAAGGATTATGTATTATATTTTTTATTTGGAAAAGATAATTGCCTAGCCTTCGTACCTTACGAACGAGATTAACGTTTCTCCGGCTCTTTTCTTTTTTCGCACCAGCAATGTCCTCGTAAGCTCAAGCTTTTTCAGTTCACGTAACTACGCGAATTCGGCGAAGACCCCTAATCCTTGTGCGAGTGCTTCGAAGCCGACTTTTGAGCACGACGCCACCACCTATTTTCTCATTTTCTTCTAATACGGCGGTACGTCATCGCATCTCCCTAAGGAGAGAGAGAGAGAGAGAGAGAGAGAGAGAGAGAGAGAGAGAGAGAGAGAGAGAGAAAGTAAAAATAAGGTCAAGCGAGGGCCTGCATTAACAATGTCGGAAGATTTTAACCTTGTTGCAGGTGGTTACCGTTCCGTCAGATATCGTTCTC